ATTTTTTTATTTTGCTGACCTGGGTAGAACGAAGCTGCAAACGGGCAGGAACTGAAACTGTCTCCCTTAGATTGCAGCTTGTGACAAGTGCACGGTTTGGAAGGGTCTCAAGAGAAGGGGGAGGGAAGGAGATGGGCAGGAATAGAAAATAGAAAGAGGAAAGAAAGAGGGAATGAAAGGGTGAATGTTAGAAAGGAAAGGGGAAAGCAGGAGTGTTGAAAGCACAGTATTTGGGAGGTATGGCTGGAATAAGACAGGCTTTCCCCTCCACCTCCTCAGATCTGTAGCAAAAGTAACTTGGGCCTCATTCAGGATACATTTAATGCACCACAACCTTCTTTGATTTGTGGAGCCCTAAATATTGTGCAGTGAAAGTGCAGAAATTCCCCATCTGTGCCTTTGCTGCACACGTGGACCTGCTGTTCTGCACAGGCCAGGAGCGCCGTGCCCCATCCCCTGAGCAGAGCTGGGCATTCTCCTCACCCTGGAACTCCTGGGCCCCGGTGCTGCTGCTCTGCCCCAGGAGCTGCTGCTCTGCCCCAGGAGTTCCTGCTCTGCCCCAGGAGCTGCTGCTCTGTCCCAGGAGCTGCTGCTCTGCCCCAGGAACTCCTGCTCTGCCCCTGGAGCTCCTGCTCTGCCCCAGGAACTCCTGCTCTGCCCCTGGAGCTCCTGCTCTGCCCCAGGAACTCCTGCTCTGCCCCTGGAGCTCCTGCTCTGCCCCAGGAGCTGCTGCTCTGGCCCAGAACTCCTGCATTGCCCCAAGAGCTGCTGCTCTGTCCCAGGAGCTGCTGCTCTGTCCCGGGAACTGCTGCCCTCCTGCTCTCCCCCAGGAGCTGCTGCTCTCCCCCCTGCTCGGAGCTGCTCCCCCCAGGCTGCGGTTTGGGGATGAGGAACTGCTCCCCCCGGGCTGGCTCAGTCACGTTGGAGGCTGCGGCCAAAGGAGGAACTCGGCCACATCCCAGGTCACTGTCCCGGGCTGGGGCTGCCCTGGGGCTGCTCTGCAGCAGCTCTGCCACTGCCCTGCTGCCCTGTGCAGGAGTCCTGACGCTTGGGGCAGGCAGGAACAGGATCCAGAGACAGCATCTCCTCCTGGGCTCCTTTATGGAGCCGTTCCAGGATCAGCAGCGCTCTGCAGGTCCCCTCTGACAATGTCTCCTCTTTCTGTGCCATGCACTGAGATCCTGTCCTGCCCAAAGGATTAGCTGTACATTTTCATACAGGCAGAAAACAGAGGGTTCCAGGGAGTGCCAACTCCCCACACTGAGATTTGCTGCAGGGAAGGGTGAGACCCCCTTGCCTGGCTTGTCACAGGTGAAGGGCAGCACGAGAGGATGTGGCTTGAGATGCTGCAATGTTTTTGGTGTGCTGAGCTCTGTATTGAACCGGTGCTGCAGGGTGGGTATGACTCTGAGGGCACAGCAAAGCAAACCCGGGCACATCCAGAGCAAAGCAGTTGAACAGCAATTGTGCCCTCAGCTCTGCTCTCCCATGTAGGCATTGATTTATCTCAGGGCTCTGCATTTGTGTTGGGAAAAATATGGCACAAAGATGCACATCAGTGACTGGAGAGCAAGAAAACACTGAGAGAGGTTCTTTCATCATCTACAGCAAGAACACGGGGTGGGCCCAGATGAAATCTGAGTTCCGGCATGGGGAAAGGCACTTCCCCCCAAACTCAGAAATATTCCTGTCCTTGGAGAGGACAAGTGCTAGATTTGGGACAGGGCTTGCCCTCCAGATGATTTTCTTCTTGAGCAATTAAAATATGACAAGTGACTTTTTTTAAGCCTATGCAATACTATTTTACAGACTAATTGTTTTAATTGAGCTGAAGCCTTCAACTGCTGCCTGGCAGATGCAGGGATGTGGGTCCAGCCTACTTTGCAAATCTCTCCCTTGGCCTGCAATCTCCAATATTTGCCTTTTAATCTTCTCTTCATCCTTTTATCAGAAAGGGTCTTGATGATTCTCTGACTGCTGGTTTTACCTCCCTGGAGTAATTTAACTTCACACCTGCCCAGCTGCAGGTGAAGGGAAAAAATCCACTGAAGCCTTGAGCTGTCCCAAGGGCTCAGAGCCACGCTGGGGAAACAGGGCAGACAATAAATGTGATTGGGATGTGGACATGGATCCCTTGTGGACATTGTGTGCAAGTGTGAGTTGAATTGTCCTCAGGCTTTCAACCCAAACAGGGAATTCCATGGATATAAACATAAAACACAGGACCAGCTTGGGATTTTAAGTCATCATTCCCCACCATGCACTGACTGACATCACACGTGACAGTGCTGAGTCAATGCACCATAAAAATGAACACATTTTTGTTTATTCACAAAGGATTATTTATCTTGAAGAGAATCAGATCACCTGGTGAGGAGGTTGGTGGCAATTTTTGCTGCATTCTCTAAATAATCTGTGTAATACCTGCCATGAGAGGAGCTGGCTGCCTTGGGAAGAGCCCCCTGGAGCAATGCTCAAAGAGCTCTGTGGAGAAAGAAGTGCAGGAAATCTTTCTGAGTTCTTTCCACCTTCTATTCATATTCTGTGAACAGCGCTGGCAGATGATGATGGGAGCCAGTGAAACTCTTGACTCTTGTGTTTGCACTAATTTTAAATAGTCACCGACATTTTTATTGCTTCTCTAGACTTTCAAATCCCATCTTCTTTGGGTTAACACCCCACTTTGGCTGGCTGGGATTGTGTTTGGGGAACTTGGGTTTTATTGTCATACAATACATCAGAAAAGGGCACATCTCATCAACAGCAAGATGCTCATGCATTATTCCTCACAATAACAAATGGTGTGGTTTCGAACTGGTTTAATTGTTTCAGTTCCACTTTATGTGTGAACAATTAAAGCAAACATCCTTGCCAGAGCCTGCCTGTTGATGAAAAAGCAGATTTTGTGTGGTTGTTGCCTTCATTCCATGAAAACAAATTTATCCTGCTGTTGTGGCCACCAGAGAGCCCCTCTGAGGGACGTTCAGTGAGGATTTTGCATTATTCAAGTGGAGGACAGCCGTGCACTTGAGTGGAGGACTCGTGTGTTGGCGTTGCCATAGTAAAGGGTGGGGCTGAGTTTTGGAGCAATCGCTGTCGTTTGTGAGCTGGAGGCGTTTGCTGTGCTCTCAAACTTGGCCATCGGGCTCTCACACTAAGAAAATATTTCCTTTTTGAGCAATTTTAGTGTCTGTTTGGCTCTTTTTAATCACTCCAGCTTTGGCCCCTGGGGGATGGCCTTTCCTGGCTGAAGGGTGTTGACTCGTGGGGCAAGGCTCCTAATCTCCACATTGGAAAAATAATAAATAAATCACAAAGATTTGAGGGATGACAACTTTCCATGTTGCTGTCCCTCAAAAGCAATTTGGAACAGAACCATCTGGAATTTCCAGGGCATGAACAGCAATACTCCCTCCTACCCTAATCCCCATTCAAAGATATTTATATTGCATAATAGCTTTCTAACATCAAAAACCTTTTAGAAAGGTTTTATGATGGCGATATTTTGATGCTGCTGTTTGATTTTCCCTTCAAGATCTGTGTGCAAAGGGGCATCTCCTGCCTTAGCATGAACTTCCAGCCTTGCTGTCCTGCTGGGTGCTGCCAGCTCAGAGTGTTCAGTGCTGACTCCCACTTGCCAGCAAACACTGGCAAAGCCTTTTCTGAGCCTGTAGTGAATTTTTTCTTGCTTAGAAGAGGATGATTGCTTTGAAGAAAACCTTTACCCAACAAAACAATGCGACTGCTTGGATTGAAGCCCTTGGGGTTTCTCTGCGAGGCTTTGAGGAGTGCTGAGAGCCTGGTGTAGTTTCTCTTCACCTTCACAGGATGTGGTCACTTGAAGGAGTAGCAGTGCGTGTCTTGGAAGATTTCATGCTTTTATTTTAGTTATTGATTTTAATTCTGGGCTATTCCTTCTGTGAGATGGGGGAATGAACAGCTTCTGTCCCTGCTCACAGCTCTTCTCCCTCTGGAGTTCTGTGGGGTGCAGGATGTTGTTCCTTTCAGTGTCACCATCAGGAGCAGCTCAGGGGAGGCTGCCCCTCGGTCTGAGCTCTCAGATGACACCTTGAGAGGTGAGATATGCTGGGGGCAGGGCACTTGGAGCAAGGT